TATAAATGGAACCCTGTTAGCCTGTTGCAGTGACATGATTGTCGTTGTTTGTTATTTAGCACAAAGCTACACAAAGGGCTGTCAGTGCTCTGCCCACCACGGGTATCGAAACTCGGTTTCTAGTGGTGGAAATTCGCAGACATACCACTGTGCCACTGGGGGGCCAGTGAGATGATTAGTGGGATTTGATGTTCTTATACTTTACCTCCAGTGTTACCAAGTGCGCTTATAATAAGTTGAATTGTGCCTTTTTTTAAGTCACTTTAATTGTTTTAGATTCCCGGCTTGTGGTACTTTGTATTTGTTTTATACTGAGGTCGCTTATTTGGGCTTTTTCGTAATAGCTTACTTCAACTACACTGAGACATTAAAATATTTTTAGCAGTGGTTTCGGTGATTGACTGGGTCAATGAATAGCCTACACATTATTACAGTTTTAAAATCATCCTATCCTTTCTCCTGTTCAATTAAAAAACACACCCATAATCGTGAACTTTTTGGTCCACCACTTGACGCATTTTGAGGGTAAGCCAAAAAAGAGCAATTTTGAAAGTCAATGCTGCTTGTTTTTGAACGGCAGTGCCGTTTATTTTTCTCGCGAAGATTGGGAACACTGGTTTTCCGCCGTTTACGTTGAATATTAGGCCTAGGCTGAGTTGGCGTGTCGCAACGCTTAATGGTTTGACCACATGACATTTATAAATTATAATCACACGTTACAGTTACAACTTGCAGTACAATTTACACCATGTTGAAAATTATAGATACAAAAATTTGGAACATATTTAACATTTAGTCTTTAGCTAAAATTAATACTTATAGTTATGTATGTCAAGTTCTGTTACTTCGTTAACATTTGAACTAAGCCTAAAGGTAAGCAGATTTGGGTTGTACTGTTTTTTACAAGTGTTAGTGTTACAACAATGGTTCTCAAATTTTTTCGTCAGCAGACAAATTCGGCGGGGCAAAAGACCTCTTGAACCACCTACCAGTCATACCCCACCTGCTTTCGCTTGCCACCGCAAAAAACAACAACAAACAAATTCATCAGAATTAATGGGAAAAGGCGCTGCTTTTGACGTGACTTGCATTTTGGAGCAGCCTCCGAACCACCTGTCACTTTAAAGACCTTCTCAGACCACCACTGTTCAGCGCACCACGCTTTGAAAACCACTGTGTTAGAATTTAGAAAAAAGAATTAAAACAGTTGATACTGATAGGAGATCATTCACAAGTAACTTATACTAAGTAAAAGAAGAAAAGATATAAGCGTATATAATTATATTCTCTAAATCTGTAAATAGGTATTTTTATATATGTGGAAACTGTCAATAAATTCCGGGAAAAAGTGTAACTAAAATTTTTTTCAGTTCATTATCAGAAACTGAAGTTAAAGCCTAAACTAAAGCCAAGTAAGCCAAACACTTGCATTAGTTTAGTATAATATTCCTATTTACAAAAAACAATAATTTAACATACTACTGTCCTCTACTAATCTCCTCATTACTTGTGAAAATGTCACAAACTACAGCATATAAAACAGTGTGTTTGATCTCAACTTTAACTTAAGCCAGGTGTGGTCTGGTTTGTATTTCATTTCAGTGTTTTTAACCATTTCTTCTAGTATAGTTTTATTTATAACAACCTAAAATTAAAATCAAAAATGTATTCTATAGTATAATTATTGTGATGAGAGATATTTTAAAGAAAGCAGTAAATCATTAGGACTGTAAAATTTCATGAATTTGTAAAAAACAATATTTCATCAGTTAACTTTATCGTAGGGATCTAACCCTGTATTTTCTGACAGTAAGCAAGTAAAGACCCTTTTGAGTGAAACAGTTATCAAAATTCCAGTTTATTTTAAAAACAGTATCCAAATACTGGTCATAGAGGGTTCTTTGTGACCCCTGTTATGTTTTCCATTACCAAGGAATAACAAGGCACAATGTATCCCATCTACTATATCCTATTTTTTAGTGTTAACACACCTCAAACTGAATGTAGAAACTTCTTTTCTTATAACCAGTAGAAACCTTTCAGTATTTCCAACAACCAATGCACAGAATAGCAGTTAAAACTATTAACATCAGGGCCAGATTAATGAACTAAGCTAAAGCTGGCCCTCCCCAGAGAATTAGCAAAACCTTTTCCATTAGTCTGTGGCAATGATTGCTATTCATATTTCATAATTTCTATTTTCTGAATCTGGGAATAAAGCAGTTTCATGTTATTGTCTGCAAATAGATCACATATAAAGTTGTTCTTTTAAAAAACAAATATATTATATATGAGTAAGTATTTTTTGCTCTTGCTGTTTTTATTTGTCTAATTTGTGATGTTTAACAAGCAAGTACTCTTTCTACATTTATAATTTAAATATATATAGGGCCCCCACCCACTAAATCCAATTACAGTCCTTCACAATAGGCACAACATAATCACCTCAGATTTTTTCATCTGCCTACCTTATTTGGTACTCATTTTGAAACTGGGTTAAGCATTCACCTCCAGAAAACACCATCATTAAGATTCTAGTTCTAGCACACAGTCATGTGGATGATGTATAGTTTGTACATCCTTCCCCCTCATGCTACACATAAGAATGGGAAGTACACTGCAAAAAAATAAAGTCATGATTATGTAGAATTTTAAACATTGTACTCTTTCATGGTACCCATGTTGAGGGGAAGCTTACCAGAAAAAAGCCTTACAGATGGTGCTCATTCATATCTGACCACAATGGATGTAATAAAGTTAATGTGAGTTTATTCATTGTGATAACAATGTGTGGCATATTTTCATAATTCTGGGAAGTGAATGCTTTTTTTTTTACCTGACAGCACTTTCAGCTGACCTTGATTGTTTTTAAATATTGTATTTTTGAATGATGCATGGTGAGTCACAAAGCATTGTGACTATTTCATGTACCAAGTGTCCAAACTTACAACATTCTCTAACCTCTGTAACTCCTGGAATTCGTGTGTTTATCATGCACCTATTTTAACACCACTTATTTCTTATTCTGGTATATTTCTCTTTTTATACCTATCATTATTCTGCTAAGCAAGCATGTTTCTGTATTCCTACCTGTAAATAATCTCTTTTTTTGGTATATTTCTGATCTTATACCTACGATTAATCTTCTGATCAGATGTTTATGTTTTTATACCTACCACTAATCTCCAAATCTTTTACATTTCTGTATCATTGATCTCCTAATCAGGCATGTTTCTGTACTCATACCTACCACTAATCTCCTAATCAGGTGTGTTTCTGTACTTGTACCTATTACTAATCTCCTAATCTATTATATTTGATTATATGCCTATTATTAATTCCATAATCAGGCGTGTTTCTTTACTTATACCTATCACTAATCTCCTAATCAGGCATGTTTCTTTACTTATACCTATCACTAATCTCCTAATCAGGCATGTTTCTGTACTTATACCTTCCACTAATCTCCTAATCAGGTATTTTTAGATAGTTATGCCTACTGAATTCCTTTGCAAAACTTGCTGGGAGGATCACATCACATATTCATTAGACATTCAAATACTTTTAATGGAACATCGTATATTTTTCTAATGAATACATTATTTCACCAATGTGCTACCAAAGCTTCCTCTGCTGTTTTCAGTGTAAAAACAACATTGCTTGTACTTGGACAGTTAGCACATATTCTGTTTTCAGTGTAAAAACAACATTGCTTGTACTTGGACAGTTAGCACAGCTTTTGTTTATTCATTTGTATATTTTTTATAATTTGAGTCAGTTTTGTGCAATAGGAAGTTATATTTCTTTTTTAACTTTAGGAAAATGACATTTTATATCAAACCACCTCGTGGTTCTATACCTCTGGAGCAATTTCAAGAGCTTGGTAGAAAGAGACTACAGTTTTTACAGAAGTTAGTTTCCACTGGTGGAAGTTTTGATCGCATAAAGTCGTTAGTTGAAGAAGCCAGTGTTGTTGAGGATTCGGACTGTTTTATAGATGGAACGATGAAAGACAGGATATCCCATTTTGTGTTACGGTGAGTAGATAATTTGTAAGGTCAAGGAACTAGGGTTTGTATTCAACCTCGTCAAGAAAAACTTTGTTAGCGTTGAAAAGAAGTGATTTTTGATTTAAGTTATTAAAGTTTGCTGATGACATTAAACTCATTAATATTTCTAACTGAATTGAGATATTACAGATTTACCTGGATCATTTCATAAGTTGGACGAATATTTGTTAGGTGACTTTTAATTATATTAAGTGTAAGAACCACCCAACAGCATGACTGAAGAAAGTTGTTCTGGTAGTTGTGAATAAGTCACTCAAGCCAGTGAAACATGCTTGGTTGCTAGAGTAGAGCTAATAAAATATTAGGGTGTATTTATAATCTCCATACCAGTATTTATGAGTACCTTTTTTATCACAGTAGAAAAGCTTATTTGATTGAAGTATAATGGCAGGAGTGAACCAGTCATCCTATATTATTTGTCCCTGGACACCAGTGGGGGCCTAGGTGGCTCACCTATCCTCGGTCAAATTCAGTTTTTCTCAGCATTTCACAGTCACATGCCTGTTTTGTTGTCTATGTGTTATATTAGCTAGATAAATATGAAGAAGGTGGAAAAATTTACCAGTGTACAGACTTTAAATTTGCAAAGGGTTTAGGTTGGAGTTTCTTCCAAAAACAGAGGTCTGGTTTAGGACAGAAATTAAACATTTAGTTGATATGTCTATACTATAAAAAACAACAGAAAGTATTTTGTTAACTTGAATAGTTTAAAACATTGATAGAGTTTGCCCAAATGAAGATCTGTATCAGAATGACACTGGTTTCTAAAATGTCATGCACACAGATTGTATAGTTTGCTTGTTAAAGAATAGGCAATAAGTAATTTCATTTAATCACACACTATGTAGAGATCGTTACCTTCCATATGATGTCAAGCTATGGAAAGAGATTGAAATCTTGTGGTTAGTGGTTAAATAAAACATAAGAAAAGACTACTTGAAAAAGTATTCAGTCCAAACTAAAATAACCTTTCACTTCCATAAAATCACCAAAAACATATTATTGGGGAAAAAAGTCTCTAAGTTTGTGTAAACTGTTAAACACAACCCACTTAGAACACTGGCTTGAAGTAAAATGAGTAATCAAGATTCGGCATTGAGAAATGTTTTTTAAGATTACTGAGAGGACTCTTTGCTACAATTACAATTCTGTTACCAATAAGCATGCAGAAATATAATTGTGTTTGTAAACATGACCAGTGCTGATATAGCCTCACAGTTTTTCAAAAAGCTAGAGTAGGATCTTTAAGTGAGTGTTGATCACATTATTTTGAGTTTATTAATTAATTAATTAATTTATTACTATAGATTAGCAAGTGTAAACAACAGAGCGATGCACTCATTTTTGATCCAAGCAGAAAGTCTGCTGTTCAGTTTCCGAGTTAGCTGTCACACTTTGGATGAGAAACAACGTATGCTGCAAGACTTGTATCGGCATACCACTACTACCTTATCAGAAAGGTTCCTGACGTCTGACCTAAATAATGTATTAGCTACAATTAGATCTGTCCTGAAGCAGTATAGGAAAGAAAGGCATAAAAATCTGTTGGATCTAGTTTTTCAAGGTAAGAAATTGTTGTTTATGTTAAATAAACTGGTAAAGTTTAAACCTTGATTCACTGAACTGTTTGTACAGCAATAATTTTCCTTTTATTCATGTTACTTGCGTTTAACTAAATTGTTACGACAGCAAAAATCACGTGACGCTGATGAGTTTCTCGAATTATCGAGGAAGTTCGAGTATGATCGAGATGCCTTTTTGTTAGTATATAAGCCTGGCAGAGAAAAGCCAGGGGATGAAAAAGCTCACAGTAGCTACGGTGAGTTTCAGGTAATTTACGATTGTTTCGAGCTGGTGTGTGTTTTGCACTCGTAGAGAGCAAAGATAACGAGATTGTGAATTGCTGTGGTTTATAGCATGTATTATAAAAGTTGTCAAGTTTAAAGTGATGAGAAATGTACTGACTGTGCATTAAAAGTTTGTATCGAGGAAGAATAAACTGGTTTAATCAAGAAAGGGCTTGTATCACTGAAGTTCCTCGGAAAGAATTTTACCGGAAATTAACAAACAAGCAGATACGTAACAAAATACTGAAATTATAAATATGACTCTATTCTAAATAAAACTTACAAATGTTGAGAATAAATTTTTAACACCCATTGTGCCTTAAAGATTCTCAACTTTTCTTCACAGTAAAAAAGCAGCAGGTTGCTGGCCTCTGACCTCGGGTGTCCCATCCACTATAGTAAACTTCAAAACAAAGATAAAACACTCACAGCCAGCCCTTATCATCCAGTCTTTATCAAGTCTTCCTTTAAAACTCTCTTAAATTAACTGCATCCACCACATCTAAAGTCCAACCACCTTGTTAGCTGTCTTAGCTAAAGGTGACTCCTTCCCTGCCATAATTTATACTTGTACCCTTTAGACCTATAATTCTTACTATTAAATACAAAAACTGAAATGATTCGTCAACACTCAATTCTCTTAACAATCTTAAACACCTCGATCTGATCTCCTCCAACTCTTATTTTTTTTCAAGAAAAACAAGTTCAGAGATCTTAACCTATCCTTGTATGACAAACTTTCAATCCCAGGCACTACAGCAACTGTCCTATAAACCCTTTCCAACAATTCAATGTCCTTTCTAAGGTAAGGAGCCCAATACTGAAAATAATACTCCAAATGTGGCCTAAGTTATGATCTATACAATAATATTATAACTCCTTTAGATTTGTATTCCACATTTTTGTAGGGTAATGTTTAATTTTTGTGACCTTGCCAATATGTTTCACAAACACCTGTCATTCAGTATTGATCAAAACTGATGTTTAATATTATGTATCATAAAGTTATGTTGACACAAATTTAAAGTCTTTTTAAATTAATATTACTTGAAAGTTTATGATATTGAAGGTACCTATATGTGTGTGTGACATAAAATTCTAAGGCCAATGGTATGGGGTAAGGGTTATGATATTTTTTTAAACACATTGACTATCAAGGACAGAACTTTTATATTCAGAGAAATGTGAGCTTTGTATTTGATGTACTGAGAAAATAACAGTTGAGAAAACTAGGAATCCCGTCTACCTGTAATATACATTTTGTGCCATCTGGAAAGAGGCAGTTTTGTTAGAAATGTCAATCAGTGTGTAGTGTAGAACATAGACTGTTGAATATGGTGGCATGTGACTTATACTTCTGGTAATGGACAGTTTTGTTAGAAATGTCAATCAGTGTGTAGTGTAGAACATAGACTGTTGAATATGGTGGCATGTGACTTATACTTGTGGTAATGGACAGTTTGTTAGAAATGTCAGTCAGTGTGTAGTGTAAGAACATAGACTGTTGAATATGGTGGCATGTGATTTATACTTGTGGTAATGGACAGTTTTGTTAGAAATGTCAATCAGTGTGTAGTGTAGAACATAGACTGTTAAATATGGTGGCATGTGACTTGTACTTGTGGTAATGGACAGTTTGTTAGAAATGTCAATCAGTGTGTAGTGTAAGAACATAGACTGTTGAATATGGTGGCATGTGACTTATACTTGTGGTAATGGACAGTTTGTTAGAAATGTCAATCAGTGTGCAGTGTAGAACATAGACTGTTGAATATGGTGGCATGTGACTTATACTTGTGGTAATGGACAGTTTTGTTAGAAATGTTAATCAGTGTGCAGTGTAGAACATAGACTGTTGAATATGGTGGCATGTGACTTATACTTGTGGTAATGGACAGTTTGTTAGAAATGTCAGTGTGTAGTGTAAGAACATAGACTGTTGAATATGGTGGCATGTGACTTATACTTGTGGTAATGG